GCCTATGAACTAAACATTTTTGTGTGCCCCTCTCTACCCCCGCAATTCACATATTAAAAATTAATTCCCAATGTGATATTAGGGAGTGGGGCCTTTTGAAGGTCATGCCTGAGATTAGTGCCCTTATAAAAAAGAGCCCAGAGGGCTCCTTTAGCCCCTTCTGCCAAGTGTGGACAGAGAGAGAAGATAGCCCTCTAGGTACCAGGAAGCAGGCCCTCACCAGGTACCGAATGTGCCTGAACCTTGATCTTGGATTTCCAGCACGTAGAACAGTAAAAAATACATTTCTGACCCTAGCTGGTTTTGCTCAATGGATAGAGCCTCGACCTGTGGACTGAAGGGTCAGGATTTGATTCTGGTCAAGGGCATATGCCCGGGTTGTGGGTTCGATCCTCAGTAGAGGGCATGCAGGAGGCCGCAAACCAATAATTCTCTCTCGTCATTGATGGTTCTATCTCTCTCTCCCTCTCCCTTCCTCTCTGAAATCAATAAAAATATATTTTAAAAAAAGAAAGAAATAGATTTCTGTTGTTTAGAACCCACCCAGTCTGTGGTATTTTGCTAAAGGGGCTTAAATTTACATATGTTGAATTTTTATTTAATGTCATAAACTTGACTTAATTTGTCTAGCTTGCTCCTCATAGAAATTAATTCTCTAGCTTATATTCAAACCTTAAGCATTTTCAATAATTGTCCCAAGGTCTCACTGCAAATAAATTTTGAAATTTGGAGATAACCACAGGTTGAGCTATGAAATATGCTTGCTTCTGAACATGTTTCAATGAGAACAGGAAGAAAATTAAAACTAATGTAATATAATAAAAGTATTTAAAATTATAATAATTTCAACAGCAAGTAAACTAAGAATACTTAAACCATGATGGGCAATAATTAAAAATCTTAATCAGATTAACATTTTTTCTATCAAGAATAATTTTTAAAAGTCTGGTTCCCTGGTACTTTCGAAATTTTCTCATAATATTCTCTCTTTTTTCCCATAGTTCACTCTACCCCAGTTTCACAGATATTTTTGCTGTTTACAGAAACATAAAAAATAAAGGGATGCTCCTATCTCATGGTCTTTATACTTGCTTTCCCCTCTCTGTGTGTGTATGTGTATACACAATATTACACATCTGTATATATACAGCACACACACACACACACACACACACACACTTTCCTTGACTTCCATTCCCACCTCTCCAATTGAACTCCTTATCACCACCCCTGATTTATATTTTCCCATATACATTACTACATAACATAATATATGTTGTAGTCATTTATTTTGCTTTTCTGTCATTCCTCCCTGGAACAGATGCTGTAAAAGTTTGTTGCTGTTAGTGGTGATGGTGATTTTGACGCTTGGGGACAATCTTGATTTGTTTTGTTGTTCTTTTTGACCACTAATGCAACCCCAGTGTCCAAACAATATCTGTTACACAGTAGGCACTCAAAAACTTCTTGTTGAATAAATAAGTAAATGAAAACAAAACTTGAGACATATTACAAGACCAGTACTTATATTTAAAATGTTAGTATTTAATGTAATTTTACATCTCACTTCTACATTCAATCTATAACTTTAATAGATAAAAGCAAACAAAAATCTCTAATATTTAAAAATCAAGTAATCCAATTCAGAAATACATTCTGTGTTCTCCTCTTTTTCTTTCCCACATTATCTTACTTATTTCAATTCATTTAATTTCATATTTATAGATCACCTCTCCCAAGGACCTTGCCAACAACTAAAATGTTATGATTACAAGTTCACTATTTGTTAGTTGTGTGAACTTGGCCAAGTGACTCAACCTGTATAATCTTTGGTGTCTTCATCTGTCAATTTTGACTAAAGTTAGAGTAACTGATGCCCTTACAGATAAATGAGATGAGATGATGCCAGCAAAACATTTAGCACCTCCTCTGAACTATTGGTGTCATCAAATTAATTTTGTTCTTATCTCTTGTAAATAATAATGCTATTTATAAAGTAAACATGGTAGATATATTCTTGCAGTCATATAGACAGTATATTTCATACAGAAAGTAAAAGAAACGAGTCTAATTTTAAAGTCACAGAGAGAAAGCCACATTTGCATGCAACAGTTACATACATACAATAAAGCTCATCAATGCCCTTTTCAGATTCCCAACTCTCTGATTCTGCCAAAATTACCACTCCTCCTCCCCTACTCAGATGTACACACAGACATCAAGCCACTCACTATTTGGAAGGTAATGAGGAGTTTTAACCTTTTGATGCCACCTTTATTTTTCTTCCTTGACTGTAATGATACTCAGCTAAGAACTTCTTTCCTTTGAACATGATTAATGCTATTGAGGGTACTTTTACTGCATTTTGCTGTACATATCCTGTAACTTTACCTAATTTCGAAATGATTTTAAATGCAGATGAGCAGATTTGCTGCCGATATAAATGGGGAGGAAAGAGCTTTTACTTACAGTGTATTTCTAGCACCTGCATCGCTACCTGAGGAGTGGCATTGAGGGATTCATGGTCGACTCTGCAGATAACCGCCACACCGTCGTCGCTCCTGTCCACTCGGAAATCCAGTGTGCTGCTGACAGTGAAAGTCTTGCGATTTGCATCCTCTTCTTTTAAATATTTTACATCTGAAAATAAAATATAAATTAAAACTTTCTGTGACAGTCTCCTTCAATATGTAACATTCCATTTAAGAAGAGGGCAATTTTAATGAATTAGAAATCAAAATGAAGGACTAAGGTTAAGATACCATTCTAATAAAATCTTAAATATAGTTGAGGAAAAACGCTGTCCCATTTTCTCAAAACTCTTAGTGGATGCACCTTCTTCCTAAACTTATCAACTTTTAAAAGCAAATATTTGTTAGTTTAACATTTAATCCATTTGAATTTGAGAAAATAAAAATACACTACTTGA